TGGACTCAAATGATCCTCTTGCCTCAGCCTCCCAAGTAGCTGGGACTACAGGCACTCACCACTATACCTGGCTAGTTTTTCTATTTTTAGTAGAGTCAGGGTCTCCTTCTTGCTCAGACTGGTCTCAAACTCTTGAGCTAAAGCAATCCACCCGCCTGGGCCTCCTAGACTGCTGGGGTTACATGCATGAGTCACTGCATTCAGCCAACAAATAATTTTTTAAAAAATACTTAACACAAAAATACAAATCAAAACAGTGTGGCATTGGTGAAAATGTAAACAAATAGATTAACTGAAACAGAGCAGACAGCTCAGAAATAGACATAAAAATATAATCAAACTGATTTTTTTTTTTTTGCGACAGAGCCTCAAGCTGTCACCCTAAAGTGCCATGGCATCACGGCTCACAGCAACCTCCAACTCCTGGGCTCAATTGATTCTCCTGCCTCCACCTCCTAAGTAGCTGGGACTACAGGCACTTGCCACAACACCAGCTATTTTTTAGTTGCAGCTGTCATTATTGTTTTTTGGGCCCTGACTGGATTTGAACCTACCACTCAGGTGTATGTGGCTGGTGCCTTAGCTGCTTGAACCATAGGCACCGAGCTCAAACTAATTTATTTTTTGGGGGGGGAGTTTACAACATGCTCAGCATTTTATTTGTTTTATTATTTTTTTTTTATTGAATGGTAACTGTGTACATTAATGCACTTCTGGGGTACAGTGAGGTGTTTTCACATACAATCCAAAACACTTCCATCAAACTGGTTAACATAGCCTTCATGTCGTTTTCTTAGTTATTGTGTTAAAACGTTCATATTCTACTTTTAGATTTACTTGTACCCTTGTAAAATAAACCACAGAAGTGACCCCTCCAATCCCCCTCCTTCCACCCATTCCCCCTCCCCTCTCCCTCCCCTCTCCCCGTATTCTTAGGCTGTTATCCAAACTGATTTTTTGACAAGAAACAAAAGACAGTTCAATAAAGAAGAAATAGTCTTTTCAAAAAATGGTACTGAAATCAATTTTGCAACAGATCTTATTTTTTTTCACCAAAGAAATGAATTCAAAATGGATTATAGTCCCAAACATTAAAAATAAAAAATGTAAAATTTCTAGGAGAAAACATGAAATCTAAGTGACTTTGGGTTTTAGAATGCATTGTTAGATACAATCCCACAAGCATAATTCAAGAGAGAAAAAATAAATTGGACTTTATTAAAACTAAAAACCCCTTCTCTAGGAAAGAGGCTATTTGAAGGATTTGAAAACAAACCACAGACTGGGAGGTGTATATGTATTTGCAAAACACATACCTGAGGAAGAACTTACATCCAAAATATACCAACAACTCTTAAAACTCAACAATAAGAAAAAATGTTTTAAACGGGCATGAGATCTTAATACACATCACCAGAGGAAATACACAGGTAACAAATGTATTGTGAAAAGACAGTCATCCTGGTCACAGGGAATTGCAAATTAAAGCCACGGTGAGATACCACCACATACCTACCAGGATGTTTAAAATGCAAAAATTTCAATGTATCAAATTCTGGCAAAAGGTAAAGCAACAAGAACTTTCATTCAGGGGCGGCGCCTATGGCTCAAAGGGGTAGGACGCCGGCCCCATATGCCGGAGGTAGCAGGTTCAAACCTAGCCCTGGCCAAAAACTGCAAAAAAAAAAAGAACTTTCATTCATTGCTGATGGGAATGCAAAATGCTGCAGCCATTTTAGAAGACAGTTTGAAGTTTTCTTACAAAGCTAATCATTGTCTTACCCATACAGTGCAGCAAAAGCCCTCCTCGTGCTTACCTAGCTGATGGGAAAACTTACTTTTGCTCAAAAATCTATGCATAAAATTTTATAGAAGCTTTACAGTTGCTAAAAGTTATAATCAACCAGGAAGTCTTTCAATGGGTGAATGGGGGGTCAGTGGTACACCCATAAGATGGAATATCCTTCAGTAACAAAAGTAATGACATCAAACGAGAGAAAGGAATACAGAAAGTAAATAAATATTGCTAAGTAAAAGAACTAAGTCTGAAAAGATGACACAGCGCATGATTCCAGTATAGAACGTTTTAGAAAAGCCAAAACTACAGGGTACCGGTGTTAGTAGTTGCCAGCCGTTCAGAAGAAAGATTGAATGGGTGCAGTACTTGGGGGTCTGTAGGCCAGTGAAGCTGTTCTGAATAACAACAGCGGCTGCCTGTATTATAAATACACGAAACAACATTACTGCAAGGGGGGGGGGGGAAATGAACTGATCTATGTAATTCTGGAACCGAGTAGAGTTTGTAAAACTAAACTCAAAAGGAAATGTACACAAAGGACATAAATACGACAGTAAACGTGACTTTCAGAGGAGCTCGTCATGCTTGCCACGTGCACAGACTGGAACTGAACGATTCAGTGAGTGGCTTTCAGGTGGTGGGGGCTGGGTTCTCACTGTTGGGATGGGACTTTATTGATAAGCAATGGGAGGAGGCTAGGATGATCAAAGTGATTTGAAATGAACTTGGAGACAGTGATCTAAACTCCTGTTTGTCTGAGCACGCATGCAGATGGTTGTGCATGGGAGTCCTTATGAATGTGGGCGTCTGCACGGTATCTTTCCCTGTCGGCTGAGGACTAAAAGAAATGCCACCTCAGTCGCGAGGAACACACCTGGTGCCAGACCTCATCTTCTCATGTCAGTCTCCACTAAACAGAGCTGGGATCTTTAGGACAAGAAATAGAGAAGGTGAGCCGATAGCATCTTCTAGTGCCAGAAAGTGAGAAAATGCTTTGAACACACACACACACACACACACACGCACACATGGGAGGGTGTGGCATAAGAACCAATTAAAAGACCTCCCTGAAGGTGTTTCAGGTAGGTAAAAAAGAAAAAAAGAATAAAGACTTCCCAAAGGTGGGCGGCACCTGTGGCTAAGTGGGTAGGGCGCCAGCCCCATATATGGAGCGTAGCGGGTTCGAACCTGACCCCGGCCAAACTGCAATAAAAAGATAGCTGGGCATTGTGGCAGGTGCCTATAGTCCCAGCTACTAGGGAGGCTGAGGCAAGACAATCGCCCAGGAGTCGGAGGTTGCTGTGAGCTGTGATGCCATAGCACTCTACCCAGATGACAAAGTGAGACTGTGTCTCAAAAAAAAAAAAAAAAAGACTTCCCAATAGTTAAAGCAGAAATAATTTGAGCAACAAAATAAGTAGTGCAGCGTTGGATCAGAACTTGAAATATAAAATAAATATCCATGAGCTGTTACTGATGCTAATTAATTAATTGATGGGAGAGAAGAGTGGAAGCTCCCTGCAGAATTTCACACAAGGCATGTAGCTACTCCAGGATCAAGGAGGGGACGCATAACGCCCCACTCTTCAGACCTGGGCTGTGCTTGGCCTACAGAGATTACAACGTGGAAAGGAATGGAGAGAAACGTCGCGATGGGGAAACCTGACATGCACGACCTCAGACAGGTGACCAGCACAGACAACAGTATATTATGGAAATGGTATTTCACCCTCATGGTCTTCCTGCCCAATACCCATTCCCACCCGTCTGATGATGAGAAAAACTCTGATTCCATTAGAGAGGCATCCTGGAAAACGCAGGGCCAGGACGCCTCAAAACCACCCAGGTCATCAGAAGAAGAGCAAATCTGAGAAAGGGTCGCAGCCAAGAGAAGGTGAAAGGGCAAGGACAACTGCATGTGATGTGATTTCCTGGAACAGAGAAAGAACATCAGGGGAAAACTAAGGACATCTGAGCTAAGGGTGGATTTAGCGTAATAATAATGATGATTGGTTGATAGTTAATGACAGACGATAGATAAATAGAAGGTAGAGATAGATATAGATGATAGATAGATAGATAGATAGGTAGATAGATAGACACATCTTATTTAAACGCACATCAGGCCCAGCATGGTGGCTCACGCCTATAATCCCAGAACTCTGGGAGGCTACGGCAGGTGAATTGCCTGAGCTCAGGAGTTCAAGACTAGCCTGAGAAAGATCGAGCTGTGCAGGGTTGGATGCCCAGTGTCACTATTAAAAATAGAAAAAACTAGCCAAGCATCGTGGCGGCACCTGTAGTCCCAGCTACTAGGGAGGCTGAGCCAGGAGGCTCACTTGAGCCCAGGAGTTTGAAGTTGCTGTGAGCTAGGCTGATATCATTGCACTCTAGCCTGAGCAACGGTCTCAAACAAACCAGCAGAAACCCCTCTTGCAATGCACTTTTTGAGCAGAGGAACCTGAGGAACCTGGCAACAGCGCCTAACCAACAAAGCTGTGCTCTGCCGCCGGGTTACAGGTTCAGACTCATTGGGACTCCAACAGCCACAGGCCACAGGGTACAAGCCTGCCTCAAGGGGCAGAACAAAACCAGTGTCTTCTTCACACTCACTCATCCACCTCTACCCCCAGGGGGATAGGCCTAATGGCCCTTCCCCAGAGCTGAGTCTCTCTAGCTCTAGGGAAGCACTGTCTGCCCCCAAACACGCTGGGCGTCCAACCATGCACAGCGCACTGAACTGGCTCTTCTCCTGGGAGACCAGGAGAGAGTTCCAACCCAGCAACTCCAGAAAAGGGAGCCTTCAAAGTCCCCAGATCTTAGCCAACATTCCATCCCCGCCATCTGGAAGACAAAGTCCATCAGTGAACTTTTCTGGAAACTTTTTTGCAGCATCTGCCTCCAACCGGGTAAATAAATCAGCCGCCAGAAATGGAAGCTGTCCCTTCACCACTATCTCTGGGAACCTACTTCTCTTGGTCAGGCAAACAGTTCACACCTTGAGACAGTCTGTTCCTTGGAACTCTGCAGGGAGTTTATACTTCGGTCTTCTCCAGTCCTAAATTCAGCCTGTGTTTTATAATCTCACTTCTCCTGTGCTCTCTACAGGGCTCCTGAGGGAAGGAGGCCCAGATGCTTTTACATCAAGAAGCGCTTGAGTTAAAAGAGAAAGTGGGCTCGGCACCTGTAGCATAGTGGTTACCGGTCAGCCGCATAGTGGTTACAGGTCAGCCACATACACGGAGGGTGGTGGGTTCGAACCCAGCTGGGGCCAACTAAACAACGATGACAACAATAACAACAACAACAACAACAAAGTGGGGTGGGGGGGAGTGTTCAGGCCTGCCCCAGGGATCCCCGCCTTTGGTCCTCTTCTGGTGGTAGGAAGACTTTTAGCCTTAGCCAGGGACCTTCATCTCTCATGGCCCAGGGATTCTTCTTCCTCGAACCCTGCAGAGGCAGGTGAATTCCCCAGCCTCCCCCCCACAGGAAGAGGAAGGCCAGTGTCTAGCCCCACCCAGCCCAGCCCAGCTGGATAAAGGAGGCTCCCAGGAGCCATTCCCCACAGTGCTAGCTCTGCACCCTCCTTGGCCACCATGAGCCTCTGTCTCTCTGAGTTATTCTTCTTCCTGGTAATCTCACTGCCTTCAGGTAAGATGATGGGTATGGGTCTGAACATGCAAGCAGGGTTTCCCAAGAACCAAGGCCCTTAACAATCCTACAGCATAAGCCCAGGGGGACACCCACATTGGATGGGCCAACAGGTTAGGGATGTGGGAGAGGGGTCCCTAAGCTCCTGCCCAAGCCAGAAGATCTGCCCAAGCTTGAGAGAGGGGATTAAATTTCCTATTTCCCCCCAAACTTTTCTGGTTGGCCCTAAATTCAGCTCCCTTCCTGAGCTGTGTAAGAGACAGAGAATGACATTCAGAAGGTGAATCCTGCAATGATCAGCCATTTCCAGGCAGCACAGCAGGCCTACGATTTGTCTCAGCCTCATGAAGACTGATTTAGTTTCCTTTTCTGTGGTTTGTTTGTTTTCTCCTTTAGGAAATTGTCTGTTTGGGAATAATGGAGTAGAATTTCATACCTGCACTAAACTCAATGGCACGTGTTTTTTTGGTTGCCCACCAGGACGGCAGTGGGTTGCCTTCTGCCATAACATTTTGTCTTGTTGTAAGCCAATGAGCAAGTTTTTGGTCCCTCAAGTCAAGGAGCCATGGAGTACATAAACCTCCTGGGTTTACCTCCCAGATCTCATTAAAAAGATGTACAAATAGCTAAAAGAACTAAACTCCCAGTTTGTGTGGATACTGGTGTCCCCAGCGTGCGTCAGGAATCTATGATCCCTCCCATTTTGCAGAAAAAGCATATTTCCCAAGGTCTCCTAACAAGTGAGAGGGAGTTAGTACTGGGTGTGAATCCAGTCTTGACCCAGTGTCTGTACTATTGAGCTATGCCGTCCCTTACCTGGTAAGTACAGGACTCCAGCTGGTTTACGGTACCAATGAGGAGATGGGAATCTAACAAGGACCCTGGAAGGGCTAACCCCTCAGAACTCATCCTATGGCTTAAAGCTATAATTCTCCTAGTTACCAAGTTGCATTAGTGGCTCAGGAGCTTTAATGAGTTAATATCTGAGTCAAGATCAAGGTTACCAATCAGGTGCGCCGGCTCACACCTGCGATCCCTGCACTCTGGGATGCTGAGGCAGGAAGATTACTTGAGTTCAGGAGTTCAAGATCAAGCCTGAGCAAGAGCAAGACCCTGTCTCTACTAAAAATAGAAAAATTAGCCAGGTCTGGTGGGTGCTGGTAGCCCCCGCTACTCAGGAGACTAAGGCAGAAGGATCACTTGAGCCCAGGAGTCTGAGGTTGCTGTGAGCTAGGCTGATGCCATGGCACCCTAGCCTGAGGAACAGAGTGAGACACTGTCTCAAAAAAAAAAAGTCAATGTCATCCTAATATCTCATGCATCAAAAATCACTGCTCTCACCACTGTAGTGAACAATGGGCTGTACACACCCACACCCAAACACCCAGCTCTCCACTGGGCAGCACTGTTCCAGCAGCACTTCCATGCACAGTGGAAGTGTGACGGAGGGGCAGAGGGAGGCCGCAGCTCTTCATTAAGGCTCCTGTCATTCTCAGCTGAGAAAAGAAAATGGCAGTCGAGTTTTGGAATCTCCTTTCTTCAAGGAGGTACCTGAAAGGCACACTTCCAATGTGACTTTGCTGGAATGACCTGCCTGCCAGAGCCCCTCAAACTCTAATCCCCCAATTTCCAGTGAAAAAACAAACCCCGAGATCACCATGAGTGTGCAAGGCCAGCCTCCAAGGGCACTGTGCTTTAGCTTGCCCTTTTGGTGAGATATAGAGTGGTTCCAACCTGTATTTGCTCATTTCAACTCAAAAAAAAAAAAAAAATAGAGGTGGTGCAAAAGTTCATGGAGAAATTTAAAGGCAATAAAATTAACATAAACAGAGAAAACTGAATGAAGGGAAAAGGCAAATATTCTTTCACCAGATTCTGAATGGATGCACAATTCAAAGAAAGTAAAAATCCCAATCCCCTTTCTGTGCTTCCTGGAGCCATGGTCACCCTAAGGTGCAGAGTAGTCACAATTCTCCTCAGCAGAGTTGAGAGAGGACTGGAACATTTAAAATTACTTTTGCTGGCTCGGCACCTGTAGCTTAAGCGGCTAAGGTGCCAGCCACATACATGTGAGCTGGAGGGTTCAAATCCAGGCCAGACCCACCAAACAACAATGTCGGCTGCAACCAAAAAATAGCTGGGCGTTGTGGTGGGCACCTGTAGTCCCAGCTACTTGGGAGGTGGAGGCAGGAGAATCGCTTAAGCCCAGGAGTTGGAGGTTGCTGTGAGCTGTGATGTCACGGCACTCTACCCAAGGGGACACCTTGAGCTCTATCTCAAATAAAGCAAAATAAAATTACTTTTGCTGAAAACCCACATGTGTCAAAAATAAGAATACTAGGGTGGCGCCTGTGGCTCAGAGGAGTGGGGCGCTGGCCCCATATGCCAGAGGTGGTGGGTTCAAACTCAGCCTTAGCCAAAAAAAAGCTGCAAAAAAATAAGAGTACTAAATCATCACACACAAAAGCCACAACATATCCACCTGTGGCCCACTGGCTGGGGTTTTATGGATAATGGACAGCCCCTCGAAAGTAGCCCCTGGTTCCAGTCCACACTCTCCACAGCCCCAGGCAGCCAGGAGGAAGACCTGTGATTTAGGCTTAGCAACTTGAACCTAGAAATCCTAGCAACTTGGTCCCCAGAAACATGACCCAAGTGAGCACCACATGCATGCCACTGGAGTATCATCAGTCTCGCCTTGTGTGAGGATTGTCCTGGGACCACAGCGGGCATCACAGTCCTTCAGAGCTCCCTAGGTTTAGGACCACATTCCAACCTGTTCTGTGAGACACGGACACCCCTTTATGCTTACACTACCCAGAGTTCATAATACGAGACCAAGATCTGCACGGTGCTGAGAACTCTTGCCGCTTCCTCTTCCTATGCCTGTATTAGGATTAAATTAGGTGACATGAGAGGACATAGGTCACATGCTCGGTACTGTGTCACCTGGCTTAAATGATCCAGCATGGTGTTAGCTGAGTTCTAGGATGTTAAAAAAAAAAGGAGGGAGAGAGGATGGTAGATTTTGTGCCCACCCTTGGGGAAAGTCATTTAAAATGAGCCCACCTCTGCCCCAGTGGGAGCACTGTGAAACCAGTAGGGGCAGATGACAGAAATCAGGGCGAGCACAGACATGTGCTGATCACACCCACCCCACCCACGAGCTGATCACACCCAACCCACCCACCTGCTGATCACACCCAACTCACCCACGCGCTGGTCACACCCACCTGACCCACGAGCTGATCACACCCACCCCACCCACCTGCTGATCACACCCAACCCACCCACAAGCTGATCACACCCAGCCCACCCACGAGCTGATCACACCCAACTCAACCCATGTGCTGATCACACCCAGCCCACCCACACCTTGCCAGAACATTGTTTTTCCAGAAATAAACTTGGAGGTTTAAAGTTTGGGCTATGTGTTCATTTGCTGGGGCTACTGTAACAAATTACCCACACCTTAGATAGCTCAAAATAACAGAAATGAAGGGCCAGGTGCAGTGGCTCATGCCTGTAATCCCAGCACTCTGGGAGGCTGAGGCGGGTGGATCACCTGAGCTCACAGGTTCTGAGACCAGCCTGAGAAAGAGTGAGATCCCTGTCTCTAAAAATAGCCGAGCCTTGTGGTGGGCACCTGTAGTCCCAGCTCCTTGGAACTGACAGTGAGACAAAAGAATTGCTTGATCCCAAAAATTTGAGGTTGCTGTGAGCTATGACACCACGGCACTCTACTTAGGGTGACAAAGTAAGACTCGGTCTCAAATAAATAAATAACAGAAATGTATTCTCTCAGCATTCTAAAAGCTAGAAGTCTGAAATTAAGGCATCATCTGGGTCCCGCTCCCTCCCAAAGCTCTAGGGAAGAGTCCCTTCGGCTTCTTCATAACCTCTGCTAGGTGCTAGCATTCCTTGGTTTACAGCCACATTCTCCAATCTTGGCCCTGTCATCACATGACCTTGGCCCTTCTCTGCGTACGCCTCTGGGTCTTCACGTGTCCTTCTTATAAAAATCCCAGTTGTAGGTGTGCAATTGTGTAGGGGGCGTGGGGAGGCGGCCGCCGCAGGAAGATATGGCTTGTGGACAGCAGAAGATTCAGTCTCAGCAGAAAAAATGCCGAAAAGCAAGCTGGACAGAGGAAGAAGCAAGGACGTGACCCACAGGCTGCTGCAAAGCTGCCTTGACATTTACCTGCACTGTCTGCAGGACACAGACGCCAGGCCCTAAGACCTCCCAGCAGCACCGTGACAACAGGCATCCCAAGACTCCACCTTCTCCAGAGCTAGCTGGTGTTCAGGCACACAGTTGTTTACAGGTGAATTCATGGTGCCTTTGACTCTTCCACCATCTCAGACCTCAGGTCACAAACCTGCGGCCGCTTTTCTAAGAAACTGTTGATCAGCAAAAATAAAGGGGATGCAGAAACACTCATTTTTATGCTGTTATGTTGGGCTTCGTGCAAAGACAATTCTGTGTAAATGTCGACTCTGATTTGAAAATCTGAAAATCAGTCCATACTTGTTATAAATTTTTTTTACAATCATAATTGTATTGATGTTCATATTTTGCAGAATAACTCATTTAATAAAGTAGCACTTTGGTTTTTTTTTTTTGCAGTTTTTGGCCAGGGCTGGGTTTAAACCCACCACCTCCAGTATATGGGGCAGGCACACTACTCCTTTGAGCCACAGGTGCAGCCCCAAAAGTAGCACTTTGATTTAAAAAAAATAATAATTTCAGTTGTGGGCGTAGGGCCCACCCTAGTCCAGTCCTGACAGTGCGATCTCATCTTAACCAATTACATCCACAAAGACTCTTTCCAAATAGAGACTCATTTGGAGGGCCTGGTGGACACGAATGTTGGGAGTACACCATTTACCCAGGCTCTAAACAAAGAGCGTTCACTTTCTTTTTGGGGGGTAGGGAACACCTTCTATTCCCACATCCTGTCAATGCAATAAGGGAAGCCCAGGCCAGGAAAGGATTTCCAAGTGAACAATCTTTGCTATGAAAATCAACATTTTCCAGTGATTGCACATTCCCAGACTCCTGGTGAGACATATGCAGAAAAAGGCAAGGTGGTCGGCAGCCTCAGGGCGCTCGGAGGTTTTCAGGAGACACAGGCACATGAATAATCATAGCATGACCCAGTGGCTCTCCTGGCAATCCGGGAGGTCATCTGCTGGCTTTGCTAGGACACAAGAAGTTTTGAGGCCAAGGTGGAGGAGAGCTTCAGGGGACAATGCAGATTTATAAAAACAAAGAAACAAACAAAAAACTAGTCCATGAGAGGCACCCGCCCAGAGGGGAGGAAGCAGAAAGTTTGTCTCCCACCAGTCCTAGGCTTGTGTCTGCCCAAGTCACACATCCTAAAAAAGCACAGTCAGCTGCCAAATAGTCCTAGGGGAGTCTGTCATGTCTCATTAAAGGGGTCCAGAGGTGGAGTTTCAGTGACTCTTCCCCAAAGCCAGTCTCTCCTCCTTTCCAGGCTGTCACATACAGAAGCAGCTCAGCTCCCAGCCAGCAAACCCTGATGCCTCTCCCAACCTAGCCAATGGGAGCCCCTTC